GTCAGAGGTCATTGGAAGATACTATAAATTAGGTACCCAGAATTAACCAGGGATCCCTATGTGAAACATATCAAAGATATTATTGCCTCTAATTTGGCAGTGTCCAGGCTTGTGATACCTGGAGACCTGTAAGTATCTTCCAGAGATACACAGATCTTTCATATATGAAAACATTAAAAAAAGTCCCTAATCAAGAACATTTAGAAGGTAGTCTTGCCTGGTTTTGGGTTCTGACTCTGATACTCATTGACCCTGTAACTTTGTATACATTTCCTCTAAGCTATACTTTTCCCATTGAAAAACTGTGTATAATAATAATCATTGCCTAGTAACATTTTATGAGAGTTAAATTAGATACTGCTTGTAAAGTACTTAGGTTAATGCCTAGCTCATAGCATTCAGCTTATGAAATGTCTTTCGTTTTTCATTCATTCTCCCTCACGTTTGTTGGAATGAGGAATGCATTCGGTGCCCATTATTATCTCAAGAATGACCATGTGCATTAAATTCTCTCATTAGAGATTATGATGTAGATCAATATTTTGCATAGAGCTGCCACTGTTTTTCTCAGTAATATTATTTTATATTAGTAATGTTGACCACTAACAAAATAAGGAAAATACTTCACTGTTGAACAAAATCACAAACAAAAGTAATAACCAGAGGCCAAATATAGTTTAGCATTCAGTGGGTGAGGGAATAAAACTGACAAGAGGCTTGAAAGCTAAATGTAAAGGTACCCACAGAAGACACACTGGAGGAGCTTGAACTCCATCCAGAGAACTGTGATTTTTACAAACTCCTCATTAAGCCTGAGTTTATGAAGCCAGGCTGGTTTAACTAATCCCAAAGCCTCTGATGAGCAAAGAGCTTCAAGAAATGCTCCAAGACTTCAATTACCTGGAACTTAAGCTCCAAATAGGGGAAAATCCCAAACTTCATTTAGTAAATTCAGTGGCACAAAGAGGCTTCTTTGTGCACAGTAAGAAACTAGCTGTAATATTCTCCAAATAGACGTGTGATATTTAACACTGAAACCTGTTTTAATCTGAAGCAGTTGAAATTCTTTCTCTTAATTTCTTAAAAAGTTACCAAGTTAATAATTTTATGTGTCAGTCATTCATAGAAAATTTTTCTTTAAAGCGCTTTTAGCCTCGTGGAAAAATAACTGTATATATATCAACAAATAAAAATGTAACTATGATAAAAATACATAAATAAATTGGTATTGTTGTTACTCATGTGACATGCTTCTTATTCAAGCTTTAGAATATCAGAGCATCTTGTCAGATATTGATGATAATTTTTTGCATTCAGAACATTTGATGACTTCATCATGAAATTTGAATCTGGTGATTTTGTCCCACATTCAAGTTGTACTCAATATAGACAAAGGAAACCCACATTCTATTGTTTTTTTAATCATCTCTTTCATTTAGAGAACTGAAGAGCAAATAAATTAGAGAGAGGTCAGAGTAAGGGAGTATTGGGGCAGGAAAGATGGTGGAATGAGATGGACATCATTACCCTAGATACATGTATAACTGTGCATATGGTGTAACTCTACACTGTGCACAACCAGAGAAATGAAATGTTGTGCTCCATTTGTGTACAATGAATTTATATGCATTCTGCTGTAATATATATACCTAATTAGAAAGCTTGCTGTAAAGAAAGATACTATCTTTATTTTCTTGGTGTAAACTCTGTCCAACCTCAGTACGTGGACAAAAAGTAACTGTTATAATCACACACTGAGTATAAATCTCAAAGAATTTCCAGACCCAAGTTCCAGAGAGTTTTCTGTGTTAGAGTCCTGGGGCTGCTGAAGCTTAAATAAACCTACTGCCCAATAAATAAATAAGGAAGGAAGGAAGGAAGGAAGGAAGGAAGGAAGGAAGGAAGGAAGGAAGGAAGGAAGGAAGGAAGAAAGAGAAGTCAGAGAAAAATTCAGCCACAAAGTTAGAAAAATAGAGATGGACATGAAGACTGACAAGTCTAACTTCAAATAACATGCATTTCAAATCTCAAGAAAGAAAAGTCTATATTTGAGTAACAATTTTTGTATTTTCAGGGTTTATCTCCTTGGTGGTTTAATCCAAAAGCAGTGATTGAGAATAAGGAGACCTAGCATCTTATCCCATCATAGCCCTAACCTTGTTATATGAAATCTTGCAAATTCTCATCCTCATTATCCCTCAATTGCCCCCTATGTAAAATGCAGAAGTTTGGGCTGGAATCAATTTCAAGGATTCTTTCTAGTGCTAACATTCAGTATATCACCCTTGTCAGGCTACAGTCACGTTAATTTGTCACATAACTGAATCCAAACCTGACATGTAATAAAGTGTGTTTTTTAAAGTCTCCAAAAATGGTTTTTATACTTTCATCCTTAATTGAACTTGATGATCTAATTCTTCCTCACCATTCCCAATTCCTCCCCTTCATTTTTTTTCTTGGAACATTTGTTCAGAAATTTGAGTTACCAATCCTAAGACCTAGTGTCTAGAAATAAGATTCACACCACCTTTTCAAGTGTTGTAAAGAATGAGCCATTTGTACCCTAGAAATCAAGTGGCTGCCAGGCTGTGTACTCTATCTATACCCCCCTGAGGATACACAATTTCACTGGCTTCAGAGCCTGTTATATCAAAATCCAGACCATAATAGTGAAGACAAAGCCAAAAGAGTGCACAAGCCATGATTATTTGTTCCCACCAAGTTATGAGTATAAAGTGATTATGATTCTGAGCTGGCATTTGAAGAGACTGCTCATTGTACTGCATTACTACAGAAATGGAAAACCCTATTTCAAAACTGCTTTTCAGCAGAATAAGGCTCTGCTTTAACTTACATTTCATAGACTTGTAGAAATGGAAAAAAAAAAGCCAAAATTTAAAGTTTGATCCTTAAAAGTAGAAAAGGGCTTTCTAATTGCCTAACCCTTAAGTAATATGCTCAAATTTAACAGAAAGCTGAGCCACACTTGCCTACATTTTGAAGAAACCTCACAATCCTATGTGTATGCCTATAGACACTAACACATATACAATATATCTAGGACTAAAATATAATAAAATTCTATTTTAGATATTTTTAGTAATAGCTCAATGATTCTCAACTAACTAAAATTTTCAAGCAACCTCAATTGCAAGAAACCACAAAGTCTTGTGTGAAAATATTTACTGAAAGTGCAGCAAGCTTCATCAGAGAGATAGCCTTTTAAAAAATCAAAAGTTGGGCTGGGGTTGTGGCTCAGTGGCAGAGCACTGGCTTAGCACTGGGTTTGATCCTTGGCACCACATAAAAGTAAACAAATAAAATAAAGGTATTGTATCCATTTATAACTAAAAGGAAAAAAATCAAAAGTCAATTCTCTACTTGTGAAAATTAATTTGGGGGCACGCAGCTTTATCTTATTCCTTTTAAGTGCAGTGGATCGTATGCTGTTTCTAACAAACTGGTTCAGTTTAAACAGCACTCCATGCACCATGTATATCCTCTTTTTTTTTTCTGACTGCACTTCAAGCTAAAGACATTGCCATTTTAACTATGACAGGGATTTAAAAAATATTCTTATGCAGTTATTCAGCTACTATAAGTAAATATGCAATTTACATCTTTATTATTACATTTTAGAACCCAGTAGAGCAATAAAAAATAGTCTGCAATGGCTTCGTTTTTTTTTTTTTTTTTTCAAATTTACTTCAATGACTTATATTCTAGTCAACTTTAACTGGGAATTACTTGCCATTTCTAATGAATTTCTAAAAGTTTTGCCACCTGTGTGAAACTCTGTGAAAAAAAAACAAACTAATTATTTTCTTCCAGATTTTTTGTTTAGCTGAAGTTATTAAAGATAATAACTGCCATTTTTGGGAGACTGTTTGCAATGTATTAGTAACTAGGTCTTAGTTCGGTTAATAGAGTCAGGATGTTTGCTTCATCAATAATACTTAAAATAGATTGAATATTCACTGTGCTGTAGACACTCTATTCTTTACATGAATCATCTCATTTAGTCTCCAAAACAACCTTGTGAGACTAGTTCTATTATGTCCTGCTTTTTGAATGGGAACCTTGCTACAGGGGAAGTAACATGGAGAAATCCCATATGATGGAGGAAAAAAATAGAAACTGGTTTTGCCTAACTCCACAAATATAGGTTTTTTATTTTTTTGCATTACACAATGCTGACTTCCATTATAAATGACGCTTTTGAAAAAACAGGCTATAAATGGATTTAGTAATTGTATTAAACCCCAAGAAAACACAAAGCACAATTTCGGGTGCAATGTTAAATGTTTGTTATCTTTGTTGTACGAAGTGATGTTGTAAAGAAGAGCTGTGTTGGAATGAACCCATTATACAATGGCCATGTTGGAAGTCTCCCAATTTTTAAAAGGATGCTGCACAATCTTTTATGCAACTGAAATTTTAACGTGAGTTATAAATCTAATTAAACCCAATAATAAAATATTCATGAAAAAGTACAATTAAATATGCTAATAATTCTTATAATATTTGAATTGCTGAAATATCAATCTTTTAAAAATTTGCAAACAATTTAACAAAGCCTCTTGGAATACCTTTAAAAAAGTAGCCTATAAGGACATAATTTCTAAAATAAGCATATTACAAAAACAATATAGAAATGTTCCTCTTGGTCTAGCGTGTTTCTTCTGTGGAGTATTCTAAAGCATGTAAGTGGGATAAGGTGAATTTAAAACAAAAATCTTGAAAAATATCCATTTTAAGCATGAGGCATATATCTCCACTGTGGTTTTGAAAATGCAATTGATTTTTTCCCTGCATTATGCTTTAAACACACGGTGTCCAGTGCGGCCAGCTAGGGAGTTTCACTGAGTGAGTGAAACCCATCTGGTAGAGTGTTAGAATATGTGCTTGAGTGGACACTCGGAAGGGACAGAAAGGAGCAGAGCAACGCCCTGGCGCCGTGTCACTGCTGTGGCAGAGCAGGCACCGCGCAGAGCACCCACCTAGCAAGGTCAGGACGCAGGCCAGGATGGCCACCAGGGCCCCCGTGCTGAGGCCAGCAGGCAGGACGTAGGCCTCGGCGTTGCAGGTCTGGGCTACGCCATCGGAGTCGCAGTCACAGACGCGGATGGTGAGCGTGTTGGTGCTGCTGAGAGACGGGGACCCACTGTCCACGATGAAGATGGGCAGGTAGTACACCGACTGCTCTTGTCTCCGGAAGCCGTTCCTTCTGGTGAGGATGGAGGCCGTGTTGTCTAGGGAAAACAAGGTCAGACAGAGGTCAGGTGGCAGGTGAGACTGAGGCTCCCGGTGGAGTCCTTCTTCCCTAACCTTCGGTCCCTCTGCCTGTGTCAGTCCTCAAGTAGGGCAAGCTCCTGATTTCAGACCATTGCTCAAAGACTCTCTGAATTCGTTTGGACAGAGAGACATCCTTCCAGTATAACACCTTTAAGACATTGATGTTATCCCACACATATTCTGTTATTCTACACAATGAAAATCTACATACCATTGTGCAACATCTCAAACCATGTATTTTTAGAGTCAAGGTGGAAACCTCAACAGGTTAAATATTCTTTTTCAGCAGCATCATGAGGCATGACTGAAATTTCCAATCCATCCTTTCTTCACAAGTTCCAAGCTCAATATAGAAAAAAGTAAAATAAGCTACTGTGGCTTTATTAAAATTCAGTATAGAATAGTTCTTTGCTTCACACAGAATGTTTTCTAGGAAATACATCAGGTCATTCTATCCTTAGGGGAGCATCATGCCCTGCTCACCCAAACTGAGAAAGCTGCGACATCACTAGGGGACATTATAGGATGGGACCACTGTCACATAGCCATCATGGATATGGCCCACCACCAACTAAAATGTCAGCACACAGCACAGGACTACGCATGGACATTCAGTAGGGAAATTATTGTACTGTTTTCTTTTTAAAATATTCATAGATACTTCTACCTCCTTAAACTGCATGTAATAAAATATGTTGTCAGTGATAACTTAAGTCATTTTTGTTTAATTTATATTCAGTATTCCATTTCATCTAAACATTATAGTAATTATAAATATTTAAAAAGTCATCAATATGTTTATATGACATGCTGTGATTTCTATATCAGAAATGGATTTTTTAATTTGTTAGCAATTTCTCCAGATAAATTGTCTTAATTAACTAATTATAGAATTTATGGGATTCTCAGAATTTATAGTGACTAATAAAAATTTAAAGCAAAAGAAGGGAAATCAGGACCATAGTTTTATCCAGTGTGTATATATATGTGTGTGTGTGTGTGTGTGTGTGTGCGTGTATACATATATATACACACACATAAATATATATTCACATATGTATGAAAGTATATAGACTATGTATATAAAGAATATATAGAGAAACATGTAAAAGGATGTACATATACAGTGTTATGTGTTTATCTGAGTGCTATATATATATTCTTCTAAAAAGTTAAATATATGTTTATCCAATGCTAACAGAAACCAATTAACAATAGTTGGGTTAGGTAAAGTGGCAGTCATCTATAATCCCAGCTACTTAAGAGGGTAAGAAAGGAAGATTGCAAGCTTGAGGCTAGCCTGTATAACTTAGCAAGACCTTGAATCAAAAATGCACACATACATAAATAAATAAAAAGAACTTAGGGTTGTAACTCGGTGGTAAAGTGCCTGGGATGAACCCTTAGTACTGCATGATTAGGTGCAAACACACACACACACACACACACACACACACACACACACACATACATTAATAATATTCAAGTGAAAGAGCAAGCTGATATCCTTTCTGTCTCAAACAGCACAAAACAATAGGCCCACCTTAAATTTCATAAAAAGATATTTACTAAAATTATAGATGATAAAGAAATAAAAAATATTTGATTATTATATTCTCTCTGGTGGTTTTTTATATAAACAAATCTATCATTTTAAAAGATATGGCCATAATTTTGAGACCATATATTTTTTTTAAATAAATGTCTCAAAATAGAAACAAAAATTAAAAGGGCCGTGGGTATAGCTTGTCCCTGGGTGTTAAATCTCCAGTATTAGGAAACAAACAAACAAACAAACAAGAAAAAAATTTGATATGGTATTCTCTGAAAAGCTGAGGGATTTATATTGCAATGTCCTTATACACTTAACATATTAACACACAGGTCTTATTATAAATTTGACTCAGATGGTATTTGTGTTTAGCATTTGATACAGAAAAGTTTTACAAAGTTGTCGATTCGTAATCTGACACATCAAAATCACACAGGCACACATGCAGACGCACACATGCACACACAGACACAATTGATTAAGAAGCACAAGCCGAAATTTCTACCATGGGAGAAGAGAACCTATGTTCAGCATGCTCCCCAAGACGGAAAAGAACGTAAGGACTGATTTCCTCTCCACTTGGACGTCTTTCTTTGTGATACAGGCTGCGGGATTCTGGGCTTGATGTAGTTAATGTGGGGACACTTTCAACTGTGTGGCATGATGTCCCATAAATCCAGTTATGTTTGTGCTTGAGCTCCACAGAATCGTGGTGGCATTGGATGGTGACACATGGGGGACGTGTTGGGGACGTGTTCACATTCTCCTTATGGAGGCTGTGTTTTTCCCCATCTGCCTTTGTACTGGAAGGCTCCAAACCTGAGAATGAAGCTTTCCAATAATGATTAAGTCAGAGAGTTTGGGATTACAGAGAATGCTCTTTCCTTTACGACTAAAGGGAAATGGAGTGTTCTCATGAAATTGAGATTGGTGTCTGGAAAATTATTATTTTCAGATTGAATTTTTGAGGCTAAGTTTGGATTTTCTGCAGAAAAGGTTGTGGCTTGCTGCAAAAGTTCTCATAATATCCATCTTTTGAAAGTAAGTCCTTCCAGTTTGACTAGCAAACCTGTTTCTTATATTTTCCCTCAGAAACCCAAGATATAAATCTGCAATTAGATACCAGATAAGCATAATCACATGCTTCCTTTAAAAGTTCCTATAGTTGTCAAAATATATTATTAAGCAAAGTCAGGTATTTGTAAAATATTTTTAAAATAACACTTATGAAATAGCTAAGAGTGGTGACCTCTGAAGCAAGGAAACATGATTTGTCATGGTAAGTTCTCTAATTTTTTTATGCTTTATGTGACTAGCATAATAAACATATTATTATCATTTTCATGGAACATCTTTATATTTATGTGAAAAAAAAGAATAACAGACGTTATTGAAGAAAGGATTAAATCAAAATTGATCTGGGTGGAAATGTGCAAGGTCTGATTATTTTCCCCCGACTCAATTTGTATTTATGCTGCATAGTCCTTATTAAGGCAGTAGGCTGGCCCTCAGTATATTAGATCATTTGGATAAAAGCATGATATACAAATAAGGAAGCACATGTCTACAAGAAAAGAAAGAAAAATAGATCTCACTTTTCCCCCTTGGCTTTAGGACCAAAATGATTTAAATAGCAGCTTCTCCCTTGTGGCAGCAGATCTATAGATAAAAATTACTGCAGGAGCTCATTGCCCTTTAATTAATGTCCTTGCTGTTTAAAAAAAAAAAAAAATCCATGACTGCATTCCTGCGGGAGAAAAAAATCACTTGCTTTAGTGAGTCTGCCACTACCTCTGCTAGCGACAATCACACCTTACCTTTGTTATCCTTCAGCGAAAAGTTGTGGTTATTTGTGGCATCCGTGGTTAAGCTGAAGTAAAACTGGTGTCCGTTGGATGGCTCGTCCTTGTCCACGGCACTGATCTTCTGGATAACCTAGAAATAGACAACGGAGGGCAGGGAAGCACACTGGTGTGCTCTGCTACATTTGTTGAGGCAGGACAGAGCAGTTTTCCAGATCCTAATAAATGTCATCTTCCCGAATGAGCTGGGGGAACCAGCAGATGTACCTGTGTGAACCCAATGTATAAAGGGCGCTGAAAGACAAACCACAGCCCTTTCCAAGTGCGTGTGGGAACTGCTTTTCCTAAACCTCAGCAATGAGCCGCACCAATTGATTAGACATCCCAGTAAACATCACAACGATGTGGACACAGAACATTGACTGTGACTGAACCGCACTCCACTCTCAGAACTTCAAGGCTCTTAAACTCTGCCGTGTCATGTGGGGGACAGCCCAATCCGGCTTAATATGCTACATTTCTCCTTAGAGGAGCTGAAGCCCTTAACCATTGAGCGGGGCTTTTTATAAAGTTTACCTTTTCTTCCTGAGGAACTATGGTCACCCAATTAAACCAGAATTTGAATGTTCCTTTCCTATTAGTTTATGCTGCACATCAAAGCATTAGTTTGGCCGAAACATGCGGATGATATGTTATCTTAAAGCTGGGAGATTTCAAAGGCGCTGCTGCTGGGTGTTCCTACAGAAACCATAATCAAGAAGCACAGTCCTCGAGCCTCTTACCTGCCCTGGCTGGGCATTTTCACAGACGGTGGTTTCGTAGTCCATGGCGAATTCGGGGGCGTTGTCATTGATGTCCAGTATAGTGATGGCCACGTAGCCTCTTCCTACCTGGGATGGATTCTCTAGTAAATGAGAAAATTGTGTCACCATTTATTCTAAAAGAAAAGCTGCTATTCCCCTGCTAATTTTCTCAGGGAATGTCCACAGAAAACGAGCAAAAACACTTAACATTAAAAATCAGGCAAAAATATTTGCATCTCTGAAGCATAAGACTCCAATGAAATTTATACTTGAAATTCTACATTCTTTAAAGGGAGCCACAGATAATCTGATCCAAATATGTATGTGTTAATTTATGTATATGTATGTGTATATATATATATATATACATATATATATATCTTCAGGCATATATGCATATATGAATACATGCAAATGGGTGTGTGCATATATGTATGTGGTAATCTATGTATGTACACAATGTATATTTATATGGGGTATATATATATATATATACTTGTGTGTGTGTGTGTGTGTGTGTGTAGTCACCGAAAAGGAAAATGTTGAAAGAAGAATGAAGA